ATGTGGATCTCCTCTGGGGCAGGCAGGGATCGAACTCATGCGGAAGTGACTTTAGCTTCCCAGTGCAGTGCTTTAACACCCTGCGCCACCAGGGAGGGCCCTCATGTCAAATTTTCACGTGTATTTGAACTCAGACTTAGAGCCCAGCTCGCAGAGAGGAAATTTATGGCCAGAGCAGTAGGCAATGAGATTTAATTCACACTAATGAGTGAATGTTTAGGGGAAAAAACCCTGACATTCATGAGAGGTGAAAATGAGGCTGTTTGCACCTCCATAGGGGATCTCTACTGTGAGCTGGAGAGCTCAGCATGGTCACACAGAGCTGTGAGGTTTGCAGAACTGATGAGAGCTGGGCCAGCTGAGAAAATAGGCACCATTCCTGGAGAACCTCCTTCTCCAGAAGCATTGTCCTTTAGGGGTGGAAAGAGACCAGTCTTGGGATTTAACAGGAAGTAATCAGGTAGAGTAAAACAGGAAGCTTAGACACGGTCATTTTTATGCCAAGGAGTTCCAACAACAGCTTTCATGCTACTGCTTGATAATTATTGACTTAACACAATTTTTTTCCCTTTGTGAAACAAAATTTTCTGATCTTTTAATGGGGTTTGATGTAAGAGAAAGATTCTATTATCATGCAGACTTTATTTTGAAATATTCGATTTTTCTCTTTGTTAAGAAATTCAAATAATAGAAAGTCAACTTCTTCAAAACCTAAGAGAAAAAACAAATGGAAGGTAAAAAGAATTTTATCAACAGTTTGCTCTATGTTTTCCCTGACTTTTAATGTATACGCAAACCTACATTTTAATTTAAATATGACTGTACTGAATACTGTCCTGTAACTACCTTTGTTTCATTTGTCAGTAAGTCTTAGATTTCCATAGTTGTCAGCTCATTTTGACTACTTTATCTTTTCAAGGGCTTCATTCAGTTCATTGTATATATGTATGTTTTAATTAAATAATACTTTATCGAGGGACTTTTAGGCTGTCTCCAGTTTTTTTATTATTACAAATAATGCTGGTGACTAATACTGTTCAAAATCATTGCACGCTTGTCCAATAATTTCTGAAGGATAAAATGTGTGTGGACTTGCTGGATAACAGAATAGATATTATAATTCTGGTTAACTCTGACAAAATATCAGGCATGCATTTACCAGCTTGCACTGCTTTTAATAGCAGTGTGATCAAGTAGTCTCTCTAATTATCACCAACTCCTGGCATTATCAATCGTTGCCAATCTAATATGAAAAGGAGCCTATTTTAGTTTGCATTTGTTTTGTCAGTAGTGAGTTGGAGTCTGCTGTCACATGCTTATTGGCCACATGTATTTTTTTTTTTTTGATGAATTCAGTATTTACTGATGAGGTGTTTATCTTTTACTGTGGGTCATTAGTGTTTTTAATATCTTGATGTTATGAATATTAGCCCAGACACATATTTTGCATGTAATTAAATATTTTTGGTAACAGCAGAAAATACCAGTTTTATGTGCATAAATCCCTATTCTTTCAGAAAATTCCACAAAATTTCTGGTTGTTGATTTTGTATTAATTTCTGGGGGATGCCCTAATAAAGTATTCCAAATATGGCGGCTTAAAACAATAGAAATGAAATATATTCTATCTCAGGTCTGGAAACCAGAAATCTGGAAGGAAAGTATTGTCAGGATGATGGTTCTAAGAAAGGCAAAATCCTGCATCTTCTGGCTTTTGGTCGCCTCCAGACTGTGGACACATCACAGCAATCTCTACTTCCTGTGTGCATGGGCCTACGACCCACCAAAAGGACCGCATCTTAATTTGATTGCATCTATAGAACCTACTTCCAGGTAGGATTACATTCACAGATACTTAGCATTAGGATTTCAATGAAATCTTTTTGGGGACACAGTTCAACCCACAACAGCCACTGGTGTGAAATGTCTACTACCGCCAGCATACTATCAACTCTTTAAGGGCTGAGACTGGGTCAGTTTTCTTCCATATTCTACTTCCTAATACTTAGCATAGTGCTTAGCAGGAGGTGGACACTTGATAAAAATTTCTTGAATGAGAGAATTTGAGTTTCCAGAATATTTGGCCATTCAGACATTGAAAGATGTGCACAGAGAACTCAAGATGTCAGATTCTTTCTCCTATTTGAATTTACATTTAACAATTTGAATTAAAATGCAAATGTAGGTAGTGAGAACTGGACTGTCTGGAGAGGAATGTCCCACTTTCTGAATAAGTGCTTTGGCAAGTGTGCTGGCAACCTGCCTGAAAATTAATTTCTCAGAATACACAGACAGGGACTCCAATTAGAATCAAGTTTATTGACCAGAATTACCAGGTTGGAGTAAATAGAAAACAAGACAGCAGAACCCTTAAAAATCAAATTTGTTATATTTTTCTTCATACTGTAACACATAGTTAGCACATAATTAACATGGTTGTCACAACAAATAGAGCCTCGCTTAGCAAATGAAAGTCAGAGTTTGCTCTAGAAACTTACTTTTTAAATTATTTTTGAACTCATTCAAAAAATAATTCATCTCCATTTACAAAGAACTTTCATCCTCCAGATTATGTTGCAGAATTCCTATATATAACATTTGACAAGCTAATTCATGTCCTGTGAAATATATTTTATAAAGTTATTTTTTTTTAAAGTCAAGAGTTTCCTCTAGAAATTGTTATATATTATTTATAACATTCATTCTGCCCTACTTTAACCAAAGTATTGCCAAAGTCAACCAAAGGCCATCATATGGGACTAGGTCTAAAGTATCTTATTTTACTTTTAGTAACCATAGTTTCATTCTAGTATTTTAAGTCCTAATATATGGCCATACAGATGAGGCCTTTTGATTTGAACAGAAGAAGCATTTTGATCCAGGTCCTTTACCTGCCAACAGGATCTAAATGTAAAATAGCACCAAAGCCATCATTCAAACTCATGTGGCCCACTTTGTGGGCTGGTGACCTGTGCGGTCAGACTGTCCCATGCTCAGAGGCCTTTGTGTTTGTTTTAATTCTCTTCCGTTGCCATCTTGGATTTTAAAAGTTGAATGACAGGTCTCACATTGTCATTCTTCACTGGCCTCTGCAAATTATGTAGCCATAAAAGCTGCTTTGAATGGAATTATCTGTCTTGTTTTCATCTGATCTCTGTTTTCATTTGGGGTTGAAGATAGAATTGTGAGTAGCTCTCCAAGAGCAAAGTAACATTAATTCTAGAACACTTTCCAAGTTATGGACCATGTGGTTCCCTGGTAATAATGAAGGATGGAAGCACACAACGGTGGATTTGTTTATCTTCAAGTCTGTAGAGTTATACTTATGCCTTCAGTAGAATATGGAAAAATCAAATTCAGCATGATATAAGCATACATATGAAATCAGTATAATAAAAGAACCTGTTCATTTGAAGAGCAAATATATATACACATGTGCCAATAAGCTTAATATAAATATGTTCACCTGTAATTCTCCTATCAAGGCAATTATTTCAACAATTCAAATAAAAATCAGAATCTGCAAGGTCTGAGCTTGGGTATTTTTTTTTTAAAGATTTATTTATTTATGCATACAGAACTGGGGTATAGGCCAGAGGTGCAGGGGTGGTGAGAGGATTCACCAGAGACAGAGTGGGGAACAGAACAGGCAGATCAACGAAGTCCACTGCTGAGGGGAGCAGCGGGCCGGTCAGGAGAGGTCTGCGACACCATGTGGGTTACCTCCGGGGCGGACAGGAATCGAACTCATGCTGAAGTGGCTTTAGCTTCTTAGTGCTGTGTTTTAACCCGCTGTGCCACCAGGGAGGGCCCAAGCTTGGCTATTTTTTATTAGAATAATGAAAGCATCCTCTTCTGAATTAGAAAGCAGTACTTTTCTTGCTCTTCAAAAAAAAAAAAAAGTTTGTTTAAAAAGGTCATGGTTTCCACTAACGTGGAGGTATATGAAGGACAGGACCTGATTTTAAAGAGACAGAAACTGATTTTAAAGGGACATGTTGTGAAGGAAGAGTTCTTTCTAGATACCTTTGTGCCAGGAAAGCCTTAGGAGGAAAAAAAGCACCATTGCCCTGCCTGCACACTAAAATCAAGTATTTAGAAAATATTGGTGTCCTGGCTTCATCACAGATGAGTTGAATTATAACCCGAGGATGGGGCTCAGGAGAATTTTAAATGTATTCCTGGTAAATCTTATTTACAGTCAGTGTTAAAAATCAATGAGTTTTTAGACACATAAAAGGAAAGGTTTGGGCTAAACTAAAGTCAATGACGCGTCCATAAAGAAAATTTAAAAATTAGATAGTAGATCAGATTAGACTTAAGCATAGACACCAATAGCAAAGTTTATTTCTATGTCAAGTATTAGCTACAGGTAATTTAACAATATTTTATAAATAATGACTTTCTCTAAGTTTAGGCAATACTTCCAATAAATAGCAAACTATTGAAGAGATTAAAAGTTTTTAAAGACATTTCTATTTTTAGGATATCTGAAGAGTATGTCAAAGTTTAAAAATCCTTTAAACTGAGAGATGGCGAGATGAGTAGTGTTCTTCCTAACTTGGAGTACTCCTTCCTTAATACTTTCTTCCTGAGAAAGGAAAGAAAAAACTGCTCAGACAAGAATTTAAAATTAAAGCACTGAAACTAATTCAAAATTTCTAGTATGTCTCCTTTAATAATATACAATTTAAATATCTCTATAAATAAAGTACCTAACATTCCAGTAATCCTAGAGGAGAAATTTTTCAGCCAAACTTTGAATTGTAGGGTAAAGTTCTTCTTGAGGATTTCACAGCTCTGGGTAAAGAGTTGCAGAGGAGTGGCAATGAAAGAGAAAAGGAGGCTGGGGAGACGGGAGAGAGGAAAAGGCAGAAGAAGAAAAATGTGTCCCTTTAGTTACCTCCTTTTCTATATGGAGAAGGCTGTAATTGTACATAATAATTTACTCTCTGGGCCTCTTTTTCCTATTCAGATTTCTAGAACCAGACCAGCAAAGAAGCATCATGCTACAAAAGTTCAGATTTTCCATTTCATGATTGTGTGTCTCAGTTGTACGTTAAAAAGGAACTTAGTTACAAAAGAAAGTTACTGAAAAGATTCATTCTCTTTCCCTGTTTTTAGTATACATACTAAGATCACAAAACCTGAAAGGATATTTGGAATCATCATTTAAGAGAAGTATGATGATTATCTTTCCCCCCCAAAAAAGAATACAAGGAACACAAGGATAACTAAAAACCCTGCTGAAAATAGATGTCATCAATTATTCTAAATATTATTGAGTTATTGGTAGTCAAAATATCAAGCATAATGAGGAGTGACTAGTTGGTTTAAATGTTCTCCAACATCAGTGACACAAATGAGAAGAAAAAAATCTGCAAATAAGACAAAACTGAACATTACTTAAACAATTAGCCATGCCAATATTTTTTTCTCCCAGAAGAGCGTTCTACAAAAAGAGCTATACTTTTGAAGTGCCAGCTTTTATAATGTCCTATTACATTTAAAATATAAGGTCAATGATTGATGCACTAATTTAAAGCATTAGAATGTTGACTTGTTTGTTGAGTCAATAGCTCCAAGTATTAGGCTGAATGTTTCTCTCCTTGTTTGATGCCAAGAACAAGATGGAGGAACCAATTAAACTGCACAGTCCATCCTTTATCCCTGCAAACTTCGATCTGATCGAGAAAATACTTTTTTGCATCCTCTTCATTTTTCCCCACTGTTAGGGCATCCCGAATGTATTCAATGTCTTCTTTGCTTGTTAGCTGGGGCATTCCTGTCATCAGCATCATGGAGAACAGGATGATCAGCAGGTTGGTGTGATGGCGAAGTGCTAGATAAGCCTTAACGCAGACCTCCTGGATAGAGAAGAGAATGCTGTTACTGTTATGGTCACTAAGTGAGCCAGAGATCACTAGCTCTCCTGGAATCTACACAGCATTAGGGTTTATTCCAAATTCTAAGAGTAGTTTCATCACAAGGTGCTGTATTAAAATCCACTTTTCATTTTAAAAAAAGTAGCATGTACCTTTATAACTAAAATGTAACAATATTTGGAACTGTCTGAAATTGTCTACCAAAATTTTTCTGAATAATGAACACTGGGGAAACAAAGGAAGTGTAAAATCAGAAAAGCTAAGGTAACTTGCTAGCATTTACACAGAACTTAATTGTCTTTTTGGAACACTGAAAGGGCAAAAATATTATTGTAACTAGTTTTTATTAAATTAAATTTTATGGAATTAATAAATAGGCTACTATAAATAGGAATTACCAGTTAAAAGTACAATGAAAAGACAGATACTGCAAATAACACTAACAAAAAGATGGGATTCCTGGGGTAAATATATATAAAAAACAATCAGAACCTAATTTTAAAATTGGAGAAATTTCCTGTGGTGGTCAAAGAAAACTAATACCTGGAACAACATAGTATGTTTCTCAGTGACAAGACTGTTTATTACAAAGATGCATATTGTTACATTTTAGTTATAAAGCTACATGCTACTTTTGTAAAAATCAAAAGTGGATTTTAATACAGCACCTTGTGGAAACTACTCTTAGAAATTGGAATAAACCCTAATGCTGTGTAGATTCCAGGAGAGCTGGTGATCTCTGGCTCACTTAATGCAGATATATAATAAAGTTTCAATAAAAATTCCTATTGGATTTTTGACCTTATGTATGGTTCTAGATTCAGCCCAAATACTTAGGACCTGTGACACCATCTTCAAAAAGTTTAGTGATGAGAAACTATGCTTGCCATACTAGATATGAGAACATTAGAAAGCTACAGTATTTTAGATCATGTGAAACAGTACCTATTTCTTTCCCAGAAAGTTAAGACAGTCCATGGAATGTCCAGAGATATCCCTAAGTACATAACAAAACTTATAATAAAGGGGACTTGTCAAATTGCTGGGGAAATATCTATTATTTGATAAATATGGCTGGTATTACTGGCTTGTCATTTGGGATAAAATTTGCACCATCTGATACACCAAAATCAATTTCTGATGAATTAAAGATGTAAATGTAAAAATATGCAATAATCATTGAGTGGGAAAGAATTTTATGAAGATGACTTCCAAGGTGGAATCTGTATGGAAAAGATGGAGGATTATTGAAATTTTAAACATTTGAGAAAACAAAAGTTATAAACAAAGTTAAAAGAGGCAAATGATAATAGAAGATATATTTGCAACATGACAGGTCACTTCCCCACTCCTACCTTTGACAAATCAGTAAGCAAGAGAGAAAGTTGGCTAGAAATATAGGCCATGGTAGAAGTTAGAATTCACACAAAAATAGATAATACACATGAAAATATATGCCATCTGATTAGTAATCAAATAAATGTCACTTGAGATTGGAACTTTCTGCCAAATTAGAAAATATACTTTTGCTAATGATAATACCCAAATGTTAATCTTTCATAGGCTGATGAAAGATGGGAACAGGTATAATTCTACTAGCAGACTTGATAATATGCATTAAAAGCTTTAAAATGTTATATAACTTAAATGACTGATGACACTTGTCAAAATTCAAAGAATGGTACACATAAAAAGGCTGAATTTCACTGTATGTGAATTATGCCTCAATAACCTTGACTTTAAAAATGTTTATATCCTTTACCCAACAATTTCCATGTTAGAGATTTACCTTTTTAAAATACTAAATAATTTTCAGTGATTTACCTACAAGAATGTTCATTAGAATATGTTTAAAATTTGTAGAAACATAAAAAAGCATAATGTCCTACAACAGGGGATTTATCAAAAAGGTCTGTGAAAGTATCTACAGTTGTTTGCTCTGGAATCATACTGCAGAAGAGCATTTAATAGCCATGTTAAATTGTTTGAGTTGCAAAGCAGGTATCAAACAATACATGTAGTATATAATCCTTTTTTGGTGGTCGATATATTTCTATTTAAAAAAACCCAATTTTTCAGGACAGACTGTTCATAGTGATTTTTTTTTTTTTACTTTTTGATGAGTTTGTTTCACTTGCATGTGGTAGGGTACTCTATGATGGTCATGCTGGTGTCTGTCTGTCAAGGCCATGAACTGTTGCCTGTCCAAGTATAAAAACTAGTGGGCTATGAAGGCTTTTAAAAAATGAGGCAGTACATGCACAATGCCTGGCACAGAGGCTGCCATACAGTGAAGGCTCAGTCACTGGCAGTCTGCTCTCTGGCCACCCCCCCCACCCCCGGCGCAGATAGGTGAGTCCACATCTCTCTCTGACGTGATGTGGAGACTCAGCAGACCCAGCAGTGGACTGCTCCTGCCGCAGCTCAGGCGAGCCTTGTCCCCTGGACGCACTGTGGTGCATCAGTGCTCTTGCATTCTTATCTGGAAATAATTTTCTTCTCATCCATAGGACCCACTGAGGTTGCTCTCATTTCTTGATAATTACACAGCCTAAGGCCGATTTCACCCTAGGCAACAGTCTCATTAATTTGCCATCTTGCACAATTTCCACAAGGGCATCGATGTGGATGCCTTTTGATTTTGAATTATAGAGTTTATTCTGAGTTTTAATTATTTTCTTTCCTCCTGTACACTGGAGACTCTGGCAAACACCTGCTGCCTGACCCACTCAGTGGTCAAACTCTAATAGAAAATGTTGAGGAGGAAAATGAATCTGTGGCCAAGTTATTAAAACACCAATCCATAGGTACTCAGGAAACATTCAGATGGCAGTGCACGGACTTACCAAGCGCCCCAGCACACAGAGACATGCTAAAGAAAAGTAGCTGTTCTGTTTGTTGAAGGCATTCTACCACCATAAGTAATTTCTGCTGACTCTAATGTTAATCAGTGAGTGCTGATGTCCACACATCAGGGCTTCTTCTATGAGAAAGAAACATCATCTCCAAATTGAACTGCATGTCTCATTATCTGCCAGACACAATGTTTAAATTCACTTTTTTTAATCTTTTCACAATGTTTAAATTCTGACTGGTCATGTAGTTTTAGAGACATAGTAAAGATTTAATTAATCTTTTGTTTAAAGGCAATGTGGAATAATGGTTAAAAGCACAGTCATACCTGGCTGTGTGGATTCAAATCTTGGCTTTATTCTTGACAAGCCGTGTGTCAGCAGAGAAACTACTTAATTTCTCTGGATCTCAACGTTCTCGTTTGTAAAATAGGAATGATAATAATAATACTAATTTCACCTGGTCATGGTGCAATTGAAGAGTTATGTAAGTGGTGGATTTTTGTTATTAATAGCATGAGAAATTGTATTATTGAACACACCTCTCTAAACAGAGCCACCATTTCATCTAGATGCCCTGTACAAAGTGTCTCCTCAGAACACGATGGTGAGGTGAGCTGGGATGGGAGCTGAGCCCCCTCTCCAACCAGTACCAAGGGGGAAGAGTGTCCTTGCACGGGTCTGAGGTACGGTGGAGAATGGCAAAAGGACACGCTGGCCACATCTGCAGGCGTTCTTAGCTTTGAGGGCACATTTGCGCACTTGCCCTGCTCCCTCAAGCCCCTGAGTTTCATTTCTGCCCTTTGTACTCATGCAAAGGGTCTGTGAGAGCAGACTGGTCATGCTGCCTAGCCCATCGACCTGCGGTTTGAGGGAGTATGAGGATGTGGCTCAGGGACTCAGGGGGAAACACAGAACACAGAAGTTACTGGATTTTAGCAACAGAATTTTCCCTTCTGCCAGGGCTGCCTGTCACTGACCTCAAACATCCTCATTCTGTGCTTCTCAACTGCCTGTTGAAGGCTTTATATTACTGAGCAGAGAAGAAGGGGTAAAGGATGAACCTAATTTCAGGGAATTACTTTAATATATTTGTTAGCGAGTGTGAATGTAGGGATCACTGTATTACTGTTAATGTAATTGGCTGAAACACTCTCCATTAGTAGCTAACATATATAGGTTTAGCCTTAGTACATCTGGTGTTAATTTCATAGTTGATTCAAATGCCTTAATTACAGCATCTAGTGCTAAAGCAAAGCATTGTTTTTACAAAACTACCACACCCACAAGTATTCGGAATAAAAGAATTCATTACCAGTTCAGGGTCAAAACTTTGGCTTGATGTGTTAACTGACCCAGGTTTATCAGTTCATTGAAAAACTACTTTCTACCCACAATCTATAATTTCTTAACCACTGATCAGCTGCTTTAGACTATCCAAGGTCATGTGGAATAGGCCTCTTTTTCTTAAAGTGAAACTTCATCCTCCTGTACAAAGTGGAAGTGAAATATTACTGTACATATCCACAAATATGAGGAAGAAATCTCAGAACCATAAAAGAAAAATTTCAGGAAAATAATCTAGGGTAAAGGAAGAGAAAAAAGAACTCACAAACATCCTTCGACGAAAAGAATATTTGCACTCACCTACTTCTAAGTAACATTGCTGCCTCTGTCTGCTAGAGGATGAAAACACTGGAGAAGTACAGTATTGCAACCCAAGACAGAGGGTTTTATTTGGCTTTTTATACCAAAAAAAAAAAAAATCAGTGAATTAGCTAGACCATATTTTCAGTTATTTTGGCACAGGAAAGAAAAGTCACTGATTGGTGGACTTAATAATGCAGGAAGAAGCACTTTCTGGTAAATCTAAGGGAAGAGAAGAAGAGCCACTTGCCAGTGCATTTCTTGAGTTTGAATTAGGATTCTTATCTTTAAGGACTTCTTAGGAATGATTTTCAGAATAGTTCTGTTTATCAGGGGAAGGGCTGTGTTGCCATCTTTTCAAGTATTTAGTGAGAAGCTAATTAGAAACCCACAGGTTACAATTAAACTGTTCCAGTTTAGTCAGATATTCTAAATAGCCTATGTTTGGGTTGTGTGATTTATCTTCTATGCTTGTTCCAACAG